TTCTTCACAAAATCTATTCTCCCCAGAATCTATTCTCCATAATCACTTTTCCAAACCACAGTTTGGTTTCATCCAAACACACCCTTAGTCATGTTATTCATGCGGTCATGCTGCGAGCGGTGCAGTTTGTGTATTTCATTTTTCCTTAATGTATATACTATCTCTAATCCTTAATATAAGAAATGGTTTAATTTTTATTTTAGTCATAATTATAAGACTTTAATCCATTTTGTTTCTTATATTTATGTATTTTTTTAAAGTAGTCCCTCTAATAATGATAATTCTAACTAATAAATTTGATTAGTAAGGATATTTTAAGAAAGACAACACTTATTTATTACAAATAACTAACTTAATTTATTTTTTTAATCTCCTCAAATTAGTTAATCAACTCTTATAATTAAAATTGGAGGTCGTATTTTATTACCTGAGGCATCTAATTAGATTGATCACCAGAGGAAATCGGAAAATGGTTTGTCAAAAAATACTGCCTAACTACTTAGTATAAGAGTTAATAATTGAGAATTGAATTTAATATATCAAATATAAAATCCTAATTTACTTTTTTTTTTATTTTTAAAAAAATATCTTTATTAATTGTAGAAGCTTCTTACTAATGGATAATCTCAATCATTCAATACATATTGAATAGGATAATTAAGAAAATCAACACACATTTATAATAAATAGCCAACTTAACTAATTTTTTTTAATATACTCAAATTAGTTATCTAACTCTTATATTAAAAATCAGAGGTAGTTTTCTACTAATGGGTTTTAACTTTTTCCTAATAAAATGATGGTATTGGTAACTTATTTTTGTCTGAATGGCATTGGTAACTATTTGCATTGATTTAAAAAATTGTTATATTTTACGCGATGATTTGCAAATATACATGTGATAATATAAGAATTACATGCATTCAGCAAGATGTTAATAGTAGTATACACCAACTTAAATCATGCCAACTATCGATAATTAACTTTTGAACTTCTATTTGTACATTTGCAGAGAAAACAAGTAATTTAATTTTGAATCTGTATAACTAGAACTGGAACCCGATTGCATAGATATTTATATTGATATTGAATATAATAATACAGTTATATTATTGTGTTGATTATAAAAATGTGATTATATTATTGTATTATACTAATACATGAGAGATTTGAGATTTGACGACCCACGTTTCGTGAATTTAAGAAGCTTGTGTTGTAGATTGGTCCCTGTTCGTCATGTGAAAAGATGGGAGAGTTTCGAGGTTTGGAAAAGCTAAAGAGGACGACACTTGGTGATGGCTTTGAATTTGATCTTATATTTGAGACAATTGCAGACTTTGAATTCAAAAAAATCCACATTTGACTAGAAGATCAAACTAGCGCTTATCCCCTGTTTGGTACCTTTTTTTCTTTTCAATTCTAATCCTGATTATGAATATTCCACCAAAAAAAGTAAGTGATTTCTGAATCATGCCTTGGGATAAATTTAACAAAAAATAATTTCAATCAATTTAGCAGATCTAGACATGGATGAATTTATCACTTTTTGCTTTTAAATCTCACCCTCGTTGAATCATCGTCACTTCGCAATCTAGGGATTTTTATCAGGTGTTTGTAAAATAATGGAATTCGATTTTTAGATACTATAAATTAGTATTATTGAGATGGGATAATGCAACAAAGTGCAATCAGTTTTGTATGAAAACCTCCCTTGTCAATTTCTTAATCGTGCACAACCCAATCAATTTTACCCGCTAGGCCAAAGGAAAAATAAAATAAAATTTTACTTGTCATATTTTTTAAATTACATCTATACAAATTTCACAGTAATATATTTTATATGAGTCACATCATTCTAGATTTATAAATAATAAGACTTATTATAAATTTTAGAGTTACTTAATATAATTTTTAATCCCTAAAATTTGATTTTGTTTTGATGCGTTTCAAGAATTTGGCCTCGCCTCTCAAACCGTGTTTCTATCTCCAAAGCAAGTTTTACTTGTCAAAATCATTGGTTTCAAATTTCATAAATGATAAACCAGAATTAAAATGAGGTTAATTTCAAATAACAAAGATCAAATTAATCTTACATTTTATATATCTTAGACCTTTTTTTTTTCCCCCTTACAGAAGTGATTCTTCTTATATAAGCGTAGTGTGCTGATAAATAGAAAGAGATCGAGGGGAAGGCAATGCCAACTGGAAGTGGCAGTTCCTTGAAACGCAGTCAGATAGAGAGTTGCTTAACGTAAGCTGCATGGTGCGTGGATAGGCCAATCTGTGATGGTCCTTTTCAACTTTGCTTTAACTTTCCCTCATTTGTGCCTTTTTCAACCAGCCCAACCTAACCCCCCAGGAAAAAATATACGAGTTTCCCATTCGAATTGTTTAGACGTTTGACTTCTCTTCCCTTATTACACCGCCATATCCTGGCCCTTATATATATCCATGTAATTATGAGGGTGCAAAGTCAGCCATTTTTAAATCTTCATACCTCCCCCTTCTTAGATGATTTCGCTGACTGCTCCATCGCTCAAAAATTATCCCCTTCTCTTCACACTTATCTCGGGAATATAATTCTTCGATCTCAGTATATATCAGATCAGCAGAGTTTCGTTTGCCACGTATATACTTAATAATCGCAATCAACTTGCAGAATGGGGAATCAACCTGCTAAAGGGTATGGACGTATGGTTATGGAAGATGGAATTGGAACGTACAAATATATCTGTTAACAATTTTTTATTCGAGTCTGATCATGCTGTTCTTTTCTGATATTTTTCACTGGTTTCTTTTTATCCTTGGGTCAGATTTTGCGGACTGAAAACGAGGACGAGGAGAAAGCCAATGGGTTTCATTCATCACCAAGCTTCCCCCTCGCACGTGGGGATAAGAACGGTGGACGTGAACAGAGTTTCTAACTCGTCCACCGCTTCAGATCTCTGCATCTCCATAGTGACTTGGAATATGAACGGCCAGGTGCATTCAATGGTGCCTCCATAACTTCCGATTTTAAGTTCTAATAGTAAGTTCTGGACTATCGTGTCCCTCCAATTGAAATATCACTAACTATCATGTTCATTTTGTTCCCTGTGAAGGTCAACTTCGAGGATCTAGCAGAGATGGTGGGGGACATCTGCGAGTTTGATCTTCTAGTCATTGGCTTGCAGGAGGCTCCACGGAAAAAAGTTGCAAAACTGCTGAAAGCAGCTCTGGTTGACACTCACATGTAACTGCTTGGCCTCGTCTGATCTGTTTCTATCACTTTCTCCGTTTTCTATTCTTATTTTCTTTGTTGAAAATCTTAACATGAATTGAACGACGAGGAATATGAGGTTCCAGCATATCCAGTCCTTATCTAATCATGACCTTTTGCAAATACAGCCCTTTCATGGTATCTTTCAATAACTAATAACTGGCAATAATAATTATCATCAGCTAGCAAGAATCGTTTTCAAAGTATATCTTATCTTTTCTCTTTTCCCACCGCAAAACGAGCTCATGTATTCTTCATTCGAATGTCATTTCGGGGACTAGGTACCGATTGAATACTGAACGCTGTCACTTTTAGACTTTTAAGATAATTACGTTTAACAAGCAATCTAATTCACTGGATAATGACGACTTCAGGCACTGTCAGCTTAGCTGTACAAAATAAGACTCCAATATCCAGAAACAAATAAATCTATAAAAACACTTCAAATTCTGTGCTTATTGAGCTTCTAAATTATTTTTACTGCTCCTGTGAACTCATTAGAGTTTTCCTTTTTCTTTTCCCCCCGCTTTTTTCTGCCTGAAATGAAGCCTGATAGGCAAAGTTATCATGCAGTCTTTGCAGTTGTACCTCTTCGGGCCCAAGAATGCTGGATCATTGATTAGAGGTGTGATTTGTTACCCAATAATCCACTCTTTCTTCTTCATCTTGATGCATCACTGAGACTATTGACGAGACTCACATATGATCATCATTGTTACATACACGCAGAATTGAAGGTGGACAAGCAATCAGTTGGAGGCTGCGGAGGAATAATCGGAAGGAAGAAAGGGGCCGTGGCAATCTGGATTAACTACAAATCCATCAGGATGGTGTTCATTTCTTGCCATCTCTCTGGTATATAAACCTTCTTTGCATTTTTTCATTCACATTCACACATAATTAAGGTTACATGAGCTGGTGAGTACTCATAGTGTGTTTGAATGCGCAGCTCATGCGCGGAGAGTTGAAGAAAGGAATTCAGAATGCAGGCACATATCACACTCCCTCTTCTCCAGGAACCGGAATCCATATGCCAGACCAGCCCACGTAACTGTTTGGATGGGGGATCTGAATTACAGGCTACAAGGGATTGATACGTACCCGGCCAGAACTTTGATAAAAAAGGACCTCCACAAGGTTAGTACAGCAATCATCTGTGGCCTTAATTCGTCACAAAGTCATACTTTGCAGAACTTCAAATCTAACAGAAGGTTTCTTCATTATATTTCAATTGATTCAGCAGCTGCTTGGCAAAGACCAGCTCTTACAAGAGGCTGGACGAGGACAGATTTTCAATGGGTATTGTGAGGGCACATTGACATTCAGGCCAACTTACAAGTATAATGCAGGAAGTAGCATCTATGATACCAGTTACAAGGCATGTATCTCTGCAATTCTATTTATTTCCACGTCCATTTATTTGCCATGCGTGTGTGTGTGTGTGTATATAGGCTTAGGCTATACAAAGTTCAAACTTGAAACTAGAGCTTATGTTATAGTATAGAATTATAAAAATTTGTGTTGGTTGGATGTGTGCATACAGGTGAGGGTGCCAGCTTGGACAGATCGTATATTGTTCAAGGTAGAAGACACAGATAACATGGAAGCAGTCTTATACTCCTATGACTCAATGGACAAAATAACCGGTTCTGATCATAAGCCAGTAAAGGCTCGACTATGCTTAAGACTCCGTCAAACCTTCCCACTACCTGTATCTTAATGATCTCTCAGTTTTGTCATTCTTCTTCTTTGATTATCGGTTTATATCTCTCCCCTCGTAAATTGTTGAATGTATAAATTTGACAGTTGATCCTGAAAAAATGTAAGGAGAGTGTGAGAATTGACAGGAGAGAGGGAAAAAGTGTTCATTTGTTTGTTTGTTTCCGGAGTTGGCAAACGATAGATTCAAAAAGCGTGCCATTTAATTAATGTTTCTTACTTCGTTCTTTCATCGGTTAATTATATGTAGACTTATTCGCAGTTTGTTCAGAAGGTTGGCCACTCACCTCGAATTAATTCCAACTCTAGCCACCAATGTTGACATGGTAACGCCAAGCCAAGCCAAGCCCGAATGAAAGCCGGTTCCATGTGTTGGAACTGAAGCATTGGTGGCGCCGTGCCATTACCGTCGACGATTTAATAATTTAAAAATATAAACCAACTTCCATGAAAAAACGAATCTCCCTGTCTTGGCTTTGCCCCTAAGAAAGAATCGCCTCTCCTCTTCTTGTTCAGCTACTTTATGCTGATTCCTCAGGTGCATTCCTTCGTATATTACATTCACATTCCATGGAAACTGAATTCAACGTTCCATGCAAGAGATTACTTTGCAATGCTGCTAATGTGCTAGAAAGTGTAACCTATAATACTTTAGAGGATAGAAAAGTTATAATAATTCTTAAAATGCTTGAGGAGTATTTATAAATGGCGGGTTGGCGAATGTTCTGATTTGAGTCATAATCTTGTTAGATTTACAGCCACGAGAAATTGGTTTTGACTAGAGTTTTTTAGAGGTGCGAGACTCATTATATAATAGAAAATTTAACTTCATGACTTAGGTTCAGAGATAATAAATGAGCAGTAAAATCGGGTCATTCAGAGATGATGAGTGTCAAAGTTTATATCTTTCACAATTAATCATGAGAAGCATTATATTACCTCCGGTCCTAATTATAAGAGCCAGTTGACTAATTTGAGGAGATTAAGGAAATAAGTTGAGTTAGTTATTTGTCTTAAATAGGTGTTGTCTTTCCTAAAATATTCTTGCTAATCAAGTATATTGACTAGAACTATCATTGTTAGAAGGGCTATTTTGGAAAAAAATATGTAAATATGAGAGACAAAATGGATTGAGGTCTTATATTTAGGATCAAAATAAAAGTCAAATAGGATCTTATATTAAGGACCGGAGGTAGTATAATAGGAACAGTTTAGCTCCTCTCCATGTGTTTTGACTGAGTACCGTTTTTTTTCCCCCTTGTGGTTCTAGTGAATAAATGGAAAATGGTATAAAGCTTTTAATTTAAAGATTGTTTTCATTGAATATATGATACAGATGACATTCTAAAAGAAGAAGAGACGAACATCAAATAGAGGTCAGACATTATAAAACTGTCTTTTGGTAGGAGGGGAAAAAAACCAGTCCTAAGGACTAAACAAACAACAATTACGATAAACCAGGAAACAACACGCAACCAAACGCAGCCATGAGATGATAAAAGGAACGTGCCTGTCAATAAGATCGTGTCTAATTTTTATAAATTCCCTTGCTGATGTTCGCTTATTTATTTCTCGTTAAATAAATCATGAAGATCCCTAAAATTGTGGCGGGCGAAAAGATCTTCTAAACTCGTTTTTAAGCCATCGAGGGGGCTGAGAATCTGGATAGGCCGTCATGTTTTGCCAGATTGCTTCCCCTGTGCCGCTTTTGCTTTAATTATATATTCTCCTTTATAAAATTCGGACTTTTGAACTGTTCCCCGTTCACATCAAATCAAACCCCCCTTTGAACCGCGTACGTTCGATTCGGCCCCGAACCAAAACAAATAAAAGCAAACAGGGGCTCCTATATTGTTCGTTCTTTATTATAGCTTTCGTAAAGAAACTTTTGGCATTGGGGACTCCTTAAGGCAGAGTTCACAAGGGGCCCCACATGCCTTCTAATCCCTCCAACTGGTGGAAATTCTCAATATCAAGTGCATTCCATGATTTTTCGTCAAACCCCTTCGGGGTTATGACAATTATTTGATCACTGTTTTACGTTTCTTTTAATTTGACTTCCGAAATCGCGTGCAGTTCTGGTCATAATCTCTGTTCACATATATAAATGTTTATTTTTTTCCCCAAAAAAAAGAAGAAAAGTTTGGTTGTAATCCCTGCAGGTGTCAATGATCTAAAGTTCTTTCGTTCCCATTTGTTTGTAGACATACTCGATTTTTCACAGATTCTTTTGCAGACTCGCAGAAATTAATGTTAAAGTAGCTTTCTGACTTGCGAATTAGATCATAAACTTAGAGGGAAAATACGGGAAAAGGTGCGTCGCCAGATAACATCTTTTCGCTCTGATCGTTTCTTTGGTGGTCGAATAATCTGCTATTATCTCTGACTCGTGCTTCGAGCACCAGTAGATTCTGCGTTTATTAAGGGGTAAGTCACTCCTGCACTACCTTGCCCTCCGTTTATTCTAAGCCAGTAATTGGAGGTCAGATGTCATGAAGTTAATGGGTACATTGAGCTGGTAGAACAAGAATCTAAGCTCATCTCTCTTTCTCTCATGACTTGCTTTTATCTATGATATACCCATAGCTTCTACGGACCATCTGCAGTTTAAAAGTTCTAATTATTTATTGAGGTTCGCATGCAATTGATGTCAAATGCAGTTGTATTTGTTTCCTTCTTCTGGATTGTTTTGATACCTTACGATGGTATTAATGTATTCTATCTGGCGGCAGTATCGCCTTTTATTTTTCTTTTTTTTGTTGGTCATAGTTTCGCCTAATTTAAATGCATGAAATGATTGTGTCGATCAGATTGATGATTATTGGCGTTGTTTTCTTTTTGTTGCTCTGGAATCAATGGTAGAAATTTTCGCTCTTATTTTGCATAACCAAGAGCTTTGACGGTGTTCGATTACGTGGTTGTCTAATTTGCAGGTAGAAATTAATAATACCATGAACATATAGAAATCGTCGAATGGGTTGGCTTAGCAAAATTTTTAAAGGTTCTGACCACAAAATTTCGGAAGGGCATTATAATGCAAATTATAGGGAGAGTACAGATTATTACTTGCCATCAACTTCCGGGGTAATGCAATTGTTACCTTCACTTTACTTCCTTTTTCTTTTTGTTCCCTTCTGGCAGATTCATTCAAAATCTTCATTGGTTATCGAAAGAACTGAGAAAGGCCACAAATTCTACTGTCTTGCATTCATCTAGAGCCCCAGTTTAACCTTTATATAAGTTGTCTGGATTTGTTAACTGGGATTTGAATGCAGGGTGTATGGTCAGAGAACGAGAATGAAGATATAGATCGTGCTATTGCACTATCTCTTGTAGAGGAAAATCAGCGAAGAAAGAACATAAATGGTGAGTTGTATAACTTTTAAATGCGATTGCATAAGGTTTAAGGGACTGCTAGCATAAAGAGCGTGTGTAAATATTAACGACCAGTGGAGCAACTTCTGATGGATATAATGCAAGCAGGAAGATTTTTATACACATATCAGGGCAGTGACCATTTGTTCGTCTTTCTTGCTAGAATCTGGCACCTCCATGAACTAGTAACTGGTTGCTGGATTTTACCTCAGGATGGTGCCCGCATCTTTTATTAAAATATTGAAGTTCCTCTACAACTTCCAAAATTTAATATTCTTTGGATTAGGTTTTCTCTGGGTTACTAAGATGTTTCTGTTATGTACTTATGTACGGTGATGCTCAAACTTCCTTGAGCATTGTCTTTACAAATCAGCAAACATCATTTTGGCGACTGCTTGTTTGAAGCTATAGTTTTCTCCATGGAATTGGTTCAAAAAATCACTATTTTTTTTTTTTTTTGCTTGAATTGATACTCTATCTGGCTTTCTAGGTTCAAAATGTCCGCTGGTTCATATTATCTCTCAATAATGCATGATGGATACTACATTTAACGGTCTTGTGATGCAAAATCCGTATCTGTCATTTGGCTTTCTCTTGTATAATCATTTTGTGACAGTTTATCTACTAGTGAAATAATGCTATGCCCTTGAGAAGCATTAAACATTAATCAATCATTTACACGAGTCTTTGTTTCTGTTTTTTTCAGCTTTATAGGCTCTAAATTGTGTTTTTCTGAAGATCAAATATACAAATGTTTATATTAACAAGTCTTTGTCCTATATAGACCGCAAGTCACAATTAGAAGAAGATGAACAACTTGCTAGAGCAATACAAGAGAGTCTAAATGTTGAGTCTCCTCCCAGATATGGAAATGGAAATATGTATCAACCGATGCCTGTGTATTTCCCCATGGGGTCCAGGTATGAGTTGGAGAAAGGAGAACAATGTTGTCTGATTATAGTTTTAACCATTATTTAGTTTGACTACTTGGACATGATAAGCAAGTCATCTGAACTTCTTTCATTCACAATTTGTCATGTGGTCAAAATTTCAGATTGTCAGTATTCTCCTTTTCTCCCTGGCGCATGTTATGCTCCTGCTTATTCTTTGTAATTCTCTATTTTGATGTATGTTATTGCACTTAGTTGGTCGTTCACATTTCCCCCCGCTAATCCCTCCCTCTTTTCCTTTATATATATATATATATATATATATATATCTGCTGATATTATGGATCACATGTTCACTGATATTATTACACCTTTTATTATCGAAGATGTGTCAGCCGACTAAGGACTGGTTTGATAGTGCCCAGATGCTATCAAAATATGCATTTGCATATCTTTAATATAATGGGATTACATTTATGAACAGAAACTTGGGTTCTTTTTAATAAAGATGAAGGATATATGAGCTTGTAGCAATCCTAACTGAGTTGCTTAAGCTATTTTGGTCATACGGATGACACCTGCCTATACAAAAATTAACGTGGTATCAAAGCCCAAGACCACAAGATTCAGGCATCCTATTAGAAAGATGATAGAACTGAGCTCTCTAAGGTTCAAGAGTATAAGCCTGAGCGAAAAAATCAAGGTTGCGATTTGAGGCCTCTAAGGTTGGGGAATGCTAGAGAAAAACAATGTCCCCCACCTAAAAGTAATAAGAAAGATGAAAAGGACATAAATTGGTGGTAATTCAAATAAGTAGTTTTGGCTATTTTGGTTATACGGACAAACTTAAGCCTATAAAAACATGCACATTTATAAATTATCTTCCATATTGTCTAAG